CACTAATAAAAGATACAAAAAAAACAAAAATTTCGCAATTTTTTTTATATAAAATAGTTGTAATCAAAAAAATCTTTGTCCATATCTTTAAGAATTGTATTTCCAAGAYCTGTGCAAAATATCATGAAGATCGGTAGAGGAATTCTCGAGAAATCYTGCCAASCCACTTCAAAAACACAGTTTCGAGAAAAATGTGTTTAAAGACGGCGCATTTAGTCGAGCGCACAAGTTCTGAAGYMTATATGTCCGAAAATATTTCTTGGATCAACTTAAAAATTTAGGATAATATTCTAGAGGTGTTGAGAATTTAATAAGACAATAAAAAARTTWAATTTTTYTAAACCTGKAAGCCCATGTAACGCCTTAAGCGCAATAMAATTTTTCGGAATTATAACAATTTGTTTGTCAGTTTTTGAGRTATCCRACTGAAATAAACATACGTTCATTTCGACATTCTATTGTTCATCTATCGGAATTGGCCAGGTCGGTCGACTATATCACATATCTTCCATGCAGGCGATTATCCAGCTATTTTCTCCGGTTGCCCGTTTTTAATCAAAAAGCTAAGTGAACGTAGTTTTGAAAAACTGTTCTCCAATGCATGAAAAAAAAAATCAGGCAACTATGACAAAAAAACATTTGGAAATTTCATATAAAATAAAGAGAGCTCGACATCTCTCKCGAGTCCGTTCGAATGATTTTGGTGTATATTTTAGGTATGAAAGGCGTTCGTCCTGATAAAGCTGATTTTTTTTTCAAAAATAGTAGCGTAAACTGTTTTCGAATTTCGATCCAACATTATAACTGCCGATGAGATATGGGTTTATGAGTTTGGTATGCAATCAAGTGAATAATTATCGGAATGGAACCCGTTTTCAGTCGATCGAAATGATAAAACAAAATTCGTTGAAAAAAAGTGCTTACGAAAAGTGTTTCGAGGACAAGAATAATCATTGGCATAAGTGTATCAAATCTGATGCGGATTACTTTGACGGCGGCAAAATAAATATTGATGAATAAGTAAATATTTTCTATTTTTCTACAATTCCCGGGTACTTTTTTGTCACAGTTAAAAAGCCGTCATAACGAAACAGAAAACTCCYATCATCACAAGCTTTTAAATGAATACCATTTAGCGGTATACAATCTTAAACTGTTCTCATTGAGTTTTCTAAAAATGAATATTTCAATTATTTTCTCATTGCCAAGGTGCTATATTTAGCAGCGTATGGGTAATTTTAGTTAAGTGCATAAGAAGAAAATTAATSAAAATATCCGCTTCCATAAGTTGCGACAAGTATGTGTTTGTGTGTATGTGTATTAGGAGCTTTCTCACGTCTCCGTTATTTTGATTTGATATTGTTAGCTTATTATTTCAGTATATCATTATGATTTCGGTGGTAAATACTCGTATTGGTGGGAGTGTTCAGTGGGGTGTTCACAGGCGACTTTCCTCAAAATTTGCGTTCTATGTCAAAGTTGCTTATGGTCTTACTGTCTGGTTGACAGAGTTGYTTATGGCGCAAGTGAGTGGTAAGAAAGAAGTATGTTTTGCGCCTTGTAGTTGTTTTTGCTGCCCCACGCTGCTGTCATGCCCAACACCACTACAACACTACTTGTTGTGAACGTAACGGAAATGAGCAGGAACAATGGTTGCATAATTTTTCAAAACATAAACGACCGTGAGGCTGAAAAGTGCCAAGGCAGACATGCCTCGCCCATAGCGTCATCTACTAAGGGTACCAATTTGTAGTTGCTCCTGCGGCAGTCGCATTGATGTACCATCATTGTGTTGACAACAAATTCGATTTTAGCACCAGCCGCCAGCAATTATAATAATATGCTTACTTATACAATATTTCAGATTAACTCCCACCAGTTTGTGGTTGTTGCTCTTGTGTGTTATTGTTGTTGTTGTTGTTGTTGTTGCATCTGAAAATAATTTACATAATTTCATTTACGTTGAATTGACACTTGCCTGAGCAGCCAAGTGACGACATGAAGCGCACACACACCCACATTTTTTAGTGTTCGAGCGGGGTTGAAGTGCTGTTTCGCGGCTTTCAAGAGGTTAAGTGCGTCATTGTTCGAGTTTATGGCATATTGATGGGCGTAACAGCAACTTTACTTTTCGACTGTACGACGTGAGGCCAACGCGGGAAAGCCAGCAAGTTGAGGACACAATTATGTTGTTCTTATTTGGCGGGGTGCGGAAAAGCACTGAAAAATTATGTTTTTGATTTTGATTATGCAAATTTAAATGTTAGAACAAGGTGGTCGCTCTTTAAAAGAGCAGCATGTATCTTACATATCTGYGCTTTGGCGATGTGAATGCAACCGTGTGGGAAGTGTAGCATTTTGAAATAGAAAGTCGACTCGTCTGCCTACAAAAATACATGCATTTGAACTCAGACTTGAAATACCGTAAGCTGTGTAAAATWTAAGAAATTTTAAGACATCAACGTAGATATCACTGTGTTATCGATAACAATTAAAAGTGGAATCGTTTATTTGCTCGACCTCAAATTATGCGAACTGAAGCATACCGGAGGGAGTCATTTCTTAAATAAATGCTTCAAATAGCCCAATACTGCACAATGACCCTGTTACAAACCGTTAAACGATACAGTTGACTGCTTCGAAAAGGTTTTTTAAATACCACGCACGAGGGACTGCTACTACGCCAACAGTCAAGTGACGCTGTTATGCCTGATATTTTAAACTCTTCTTTTCCGGTCAACTAAGCAATACTTTGTCGTCATTAATGCGGTAAGCTCATATGTATGCACKTTTAATGTCTTCAATTGACTCAAAACAGTTTYCTCGGAGCGGTCGTTTGARTTTGCTGAATAGCCAGTCACACGGAACTAAATCAGGCAATACGATATTGATTGAAAATTTGGTGAAAAGCTCACGAAGAACCATTGCAGTATGAGATACATGATCTGGTGCATTATCGTGATACAAAAATCAAGAGTGGTCGGCACATAAGTCCGACGAATTTTTACGACCACCTTCGCGCAAATGACGGATAACACATAAATAGTATTATTTGTTGAGAGTTTGGGCGGTCGGAAGAAATTCAAAGTGCACCTCACCTCGATTATTGAAGAAAACTGTCTGAATAACCTTGGTTTTCGATCTGCTATGATGCGCTTTTTCGGCTTCGGCTCTAGTACTTTTAACATTTCAGAAATTAATACGGATTTTAAAACAAGATAAAAAGCAAATCCATTTGACGTTGTAATCCATAGGAGTTTCTACGCAGTTTCGTGGTCGTAGACCCAGGACCAACTTCCATCTCTGCCGTTGCCACGTCAAAGTTGTCTAACGTCCCGCCCGCGATCATTCACTTGCCGGATCGATTATCACCGTCACGGAGAACCTTATGGCAAATCTCCATAAACGTCAGTTGTTATTTTATAGGCTAAACAGTAAGCGCGGCTCTTGGCTTTTATTCTTAATCCGGTGTTTACTTGCACTTAAAAGCGGCTTCTTAAATTTAACCAGCTTGTCTTAAAATTGAATTGAAATTGTTTAATACAAAAGCATTATTTTATTCACATATGCTACAATTTCTTAAGAGCGCTATCTGCTTTTCAAATGCATGCGTTAATACTATCGTCAAGTGAAAAGTAGGTGTCGCTGCTAAGCAGTAGTAACGGAGAATAGTTTATTTTTAATTTTACAAGTAATTTCTCCATTTATTATAGAACGTTGCGAGTGCGAAGTGTAATAAGACGTTGCGAGTATGAAATGCCGTTTTCTGAGTCGTTTTTAAATCAAAGATTTAACGAAAGAGAGAAACTTACATTGTCGCTATGACATTCTCACAACAGCCGCTTACCTTTTCTACGCACTGGAATTGAGCCGGGCTTATTCGGCCAAGGGCTGTTATTTCGGAATTCTATTCCCATTTAGATCGGTAAGTCTTAGTACTGACACTATGAGTTCAAACAAGCAAAATACTTGCAAAATGTACTTATCTTTTCCCTTTATAGCTTCAACCTTCCTACGAAAACCATTCACAACACAATTCAGTACTCTAATATTTTACTTGACGCAAAGTGGGTTTTGTGTTTCTCCTCCAGATGTATTGTTCCAAGGACTTTCCTAAGGTCCTCCATCTTATGTACCAATTTGTAGGATAACGTCTACTTGACGCCTACCAGAGAAACAGTCAACACCTTTACCTACTTTCTGCATGTGGAAGAAGTTGTAGAATTGAAAGCACCAACAATCACAGACTGTAAGCTCGAGCCGTTTCACGAATTTAGGTAACTGCTTATGAAAATTGGAACATTAATGAGATACCTTCGTACAAGTTTACTAGAAACGATAAACCCGAATAATTTTTTTCAGCCATATATCGGGAAGATTTGATAGGATCAGCCTGGATTTTTCTCATGATGGCGTTATCAGKATTTTCCGTTGTTTAACGTCATGAAGTTATTTTCCTCGAACAATTCATAATTTTGTCAATCGGAATACGACGCAAATTTCCACAATTTTTTTTTTTTAACTTTAACTTGATTTAGGAAGTGTGCCATTCCTCTGCCCATGACTATATCCATATACTCATACAAATGTAAAATAAATAAGTCCATCAATTTTTTGTCTTCCGTGTAAAATATACGTTTTTATTATATATATTAGNGTTGGAAACGACGTCCACAATTCAATATGTTTTTAATTAATATTTTCTGTTTATATATACATATATATATGTATAGATATATATATATTTTTTTTTGTAATTGCCCATAGAAATATGTTTATAAATGTATATATGTAATTATGTATATTAGAATTCTCAAGTAATAGAAATATTTAAATGATTGTTAGTTTTGTTTTGCAGCATAATTCTCAGCAATTAGTGTAAGCTAAATATAAGAATAAGTAKAATAGATAAATGAAATGTTTCTTTTAGAATCAAATATACCAACTAATGTAGGATACTTATTAGATTAACTCATTTTTAAATAAGAGTTGTCAATATTCACACCTAACTAGTTGTTTTGCATAGTATGAAGTGCACCGAAAACGAGCTTCAGCTGTTGCACCTATTAATATAATAGAGAAGGAATTCAAGCGTTTACTGCAAAATAGCTCAAATTTGAGGGTATTGGGCATCCAAAGTAAAATGTCAGTCATCAATTTGTAATTCATGATATTTGTGTATATGTGTTGGTTTTCATTTAATATAGTCTGAAATTAATTTACCTGCCAGCTCTTTTAGTTTGATAAGTAATTTCATAAGGAACATTTTTAAATATAAGTCACTGAGCCATTTGCGGCCCCATATGTAATCAGGCACTTTAGTGTTTTCGAAACAAAAAAGTAGCTGTATATTATTCACCCAACAATTTCTGCAAATTTCATAATAATTATTGCTCAACTAACTCAATAGACATTTAGCTATCGGCTAAATTGTGATTCATCATAACCTTTCGTAATCTTAGCGCAATTTAGAACAACTTTACTCCTTTGGAATATGCTGTAGTGTTTTATGCTCACAACATTGTGATGCGGCTAAATTGACGAATTGCGTACAATGTAATCATTCCAATGCTTTCAACATTCAGAATAATGACGGAATTTACGACACCAATACAGGATCCATTCTAGTAATAGCTGATTTTCATATTCATAAGCTATTTGTTTTCCAAAACGCTTTTTGCAGTTTCACCTTCTCCTTTAAATTACTTTTAAAATCTAAATAATTTAATTGCCTTCACCTCTAAATTAAGTGTTCTACCATCCCCTCTTCATCCCAATTATTTCACTTTGCATCTTATTAGGTATCGATTTTAACTAAACAATAAAAAAATTGTATTGCAATTGGAAGTTTGATTGGGATTGTAATTTCCCAACAAAATGAACCAATTTCGAGTGCATCGGATACCTTCTTAAACGGTAAGCTGTCAACTTGAGCAGCAGGAGGGTCATATTGTGACTCGCCACGTTAGTTTCTACCCTAGCCTAAGGAGCAACCGATAGCAAGTATTTCAAATCGGTGGAGGACCACGTATGTAGCGCAATTGAGGCGTAAAACTCATTGATAAATTGTTGAGGTTGTCACAACAGTTGGGCTGCATTAGACAAGCGGCGCATAGGAAGGTTATTAGCGCCAGTTGCATGGGCACAGCTGCTTTTGCAATGCGCCAAGCCCAACTATTATGTGGTAGCTTATCATTCTTTTTGTCTGCTGTGTCCAAATCAAATTCCAAATCCGGATCATCAGCGGGGTCACCAGAGTCCGGAGCAGCGGCAGACAAATATCTACGAACTTCGGTGGCATCCGAAGCGCTGTTGGTGTTGCTGTCATTGTTGTTATCCAAATTGTTATCTGACCCTGYAGTTTTTTTGTTCTGCTTTTTCTGTCGACCATTTCTTGTTGATGCTGCTTTACTTGGTGTAGCGGCGCTATTCTGGTCATGACTTGGACTTCCTCTTTTGCTAAAGGCRTTGCCATTAGATTTAGGGCTCTCAGTKCCTTTGACGCCAATTTCAGTTACAGGTACGAGTAGTTGTTGTGCTTCGGTTTTCTGCAATTGCTGTTGCATTTTCTTATTTTGGTGTGAGGCAGCTGTGCGCACAATCAAATCACGGCAAGTATTTTGCAAATTCTTGAGTTCCGCTTCAGCTGATTCCATACGCACTGCAATCGATTTCATTGCATCACTGCCAGGTGCTAACGCCAGTTCAAGTTGTTTTACTAAGCGTCGTAATACGCCGAGTCGGCGTTCGCGCTCAGACAAGCCGCCATCCGAAGTAGCGCCACCGTCCGAAATGCCGGAATCCGAAAGYGAACCATTTGAAGCAGTGAATTTTGCAATATGCAATATGTGGTTAGGATCCAAATGTTCGCGCACTGCAGTGAGCTGTGTATGAAAAAGATGAATTCCAATATGACTAACTTTGAARAGCAYAGCGTAATAACTGCATGTACTTACCTGTTCTTCGCTAACATTTACACGCTCCGAAAGTAATTTAGCAACGACTTTCACATTCTGTGCGAGCTCCACTGGTGTTGTTTGACCTTTATCTAGAGCGCCCTCCAATCCTTTCAGTGTGCCACGATCATGGCCGAGCGCTTGCTGAAATTCGTACAGACCACTTTCCAACTGGCGCCAAGCCAGCAACGAGTTTGTAAGTGTCTCCAATTGTGTGTTTATTCTGTGGAATGAGAAACGTGAAATTTTTTATGTTGACTGAAAAACCAACCGTGACATTTTATTACCTTGCGTCAGCATCATCCCACGCACTGTACATTCCACTCACTTCGTTTTTCAAATGTTTATGGAATTCGTTTTCCGAGTTTATTAATGTTTGTATGTCCAAAACTTTTGCATTGCTACCAACAGTGCTGGTGCCAATCGAAGCGGACAGCTTCTTTGTAGCGTCATRTATATTTGTAGTCACAGTATCCGTTTCCCCTTGGGTTAGGGTTACGGTTGTTGAACACATTGCAACCTCTCCTTCGGTGACACTGGGCATAGCGTGGCTACCCAGCGATTCAACATCAACTTTTCCAGCATCTTTCAATTGCTCCGCTGCTATGGCATTCTGCAAGCGTCTCTCTTGGCGTGTTAACCAACTGTGCACACTGGCGTTAAGCCGTAGCATATTTGTGCGGTAATTTTGCAGTTCCGTTTTCTCATTCTACAAGACAGTTAAACGATAAGTCAAGCAAGTTATACGGCAACTGAATAACTTATATGCTTACCTTTAAAGCCTCAATGGCGACTTGTATTTGTGGCTCTGTATCTAGTAGCTCAAATGTGCCACTATCACCCAATTTGCTAAGCGAGTGCTTAAGTATGATCATCTCTTCCTGCATTTTACGAGCAGAAGCAGCATTTTCACTCCAGTTCAGCAGATCCTCCCAAGCCGCTAATAAATCTGAAATTAAAGTGCATTGTAGCCGGGTGAATGAAACGGATCGGATGTGAGTAGGTAAGTAACTACAAAATCAACGAACCAACGCCGAGTTAATTAAGTTCAACGGTTCCCTCAAACGGAACGTTTACGCACGAATTACGCTAACCACCTGATCGTGCCCCGTTTGCTACTGACTAAAGTGCTACAATTGAAAATATGACGGTGCATTTTCAAACCGGCAATCAACTTAAATATTATTGTATGCAATTACGTACATATTTATTTAGAACACGAAAGGAATGCAATTTAGACGATTTTGTGGAAATTTCTAATATCATACTGCTTATCAACGATGTTTGGGTTTTTCGTTGACACAAACGTTTAATGAGGCGAGCATTCATGGTTTTATAAAATTATTTTGCAATTAGTTTTTGTGGTTCTTGGCACTATTTGAAGTTTTTTTTATTATCACAATATTCACAATCACCCAATGTTCCCACGACAATCGGGTCTAAGTAACCGGAACGGACCCGCATTTTTATCCGACCAAGGACTGTCAACTTGRTACCATGCCTCGAAATTACWTYAGGATTGTTTTATGYCGCTATAAMATTAACATGCGAAGGATAATGACGAAACTGTTCGTATAAAAAAAAGCACAGCGCATATATGTATTCACAGACAGAAACTGCAATTGGAAATTGTACCGGTAAAAGCTGTTTAACAAACAATCTCGGTAAAAAAACACACACAATTCACAACCACGTATGACTATCGAGCGCGAAATTAATCTCGTYTAAGCGACCGCACCTTGTGAAGCTCGCCAGCGTACTGCTCGTCCGTGCTTCAGATGCACTTACATTGAGTAGGTTGCTGCTGAAAGGCAGCCAAAACACAAAGCAAGCAACGAAAATGCAATCAAGTTCGGTGCGCTGGAGCAAGTAATGAGTCAGAACTCGACAAGCCAAACCGGCGATTTGCATGATTAAATACACCACTATGAGAGTTTTCTGTGCACAACACAAGGCCACAGCCACAATTCAAGTTCGATGCTTACATGCATTTGAGCGCAGTTACCTGGTGCTGGTGCTGGTGCTGGTGCATGAAATCATAAGTAGAAGTGGTGGAGTAAGGCTGCCAACTTGCCCATATATGTACGCATAGGTTGTGTTGGTATTTTTGGTGTTGGCTATTAKTCAAACCCTCATATTCGCTCACATATGTATGTGTGGGTTTGTTATAGAAAATTCTAGTTGCGACCTAAAATAAGTTTGCCTGTTTTATGGTAAAAAAAACAAAAAGATGTGAAAAAATAATATTGTTTGGTACACAGGAGCGGAACCAATTGATTTATTATACACACTAATCGTTTCCGAATGGTTGCAAAAAATGGTGTTATGGTCAAATCCATTTGCTACCGTAAATTAGAGAAACACACACATATTCATTTTAAATTAATTGATTTATTGGACTTCAACTGATTCAAACGAAATATGACTAATAAGCAATAAGCTTAAGCAATGACAAATATTATTTGGCTGTTTTGACATCAGCACATATTTTTAAACATCGCATTGTTGCTGATGAAATTTCATAAAAACAACTGTTCTGAGCTTCGCTAAATAAAATGGGATGTGAGCAGCAATTATCCGGTCCGCACGCTTGCATATTGTACAATGATAGCTATGAAAAAAGTCGAACAGAAAACTTGCTGGAAATGCGACGTGTGTGTTTTGTTTATCACAAGTCAATGCACTTTCAGTATATATGAATATTGATAGTAAGCTTTTATATCCATATGCATATATGTACATATGTATGTATGTAATTAGTTTAACTTAGTATCTGTCGTGCAGCTACTAACCCGTATAAGTATGTGCATGTGCACACGTAGTAAGCAAACGTGACCGCGGCCCAGATTCCATATTTCATTCATATGAAGGTGCTGCTGACCACTTTTAGGCTACGACGGAAGTACCCCGCAAATGATATGAAATACAGTTACAATTTTACAAATTCCAGTTGTAGCGCCGGTGCAAAGTATGAGTGAGTGCCACGACGACTAGAAAAATGTTGATCAAAAAAGGGCGCTTTCGAGACTGAAACCGCATTTTCACCTATGAGCGACAGTGTTAGCATTTAATTATGCCAACATAGATGTATTTAGCTGAACATACATTTCTTATAGATATTTAATTATGCCAACATAGATGTATTTAGCTGAACATACATTTCTTATAGTGGGCAACAGAACAACATGAACTGTGATTTATTTTTTTTGTTGCCATGGCTCAAGTAAAGACCGGTTTATGTGTGTATCAAGAGATAAGGCCAACAAATAAATATGTACATATATATGCATATCTATTTATGTACGAGTACGCACGCTTTTGATACCAAACGCTCTTAATGGAACTTAAATTCGTATATGGCATTAATTGTTTTGAGATTGTTTTAGGCTCTTCAGATCAAAATGGGTCACAAATTAGAAACAATTGATAACTATTGCAAACAATTTAGAAGATGCAACACAGCTTCTAACAGACAGTGCGGGCACATGTTGGGATTTTCTTCCATGCTGATTGACACTTATGCGTAGAGGGTGTTCCAAAATTAACACACGATTTAAATTTGCCGCAATTTCGGTAGGAAAGAAAAACGKGTCTTCATTATTGAACAATATTTCAAARATAATGAACGCTTGGYTCACTGTTTAGTGYGGATTTTGAGCTGGAGGCATAATTGGAGCATAATTTGTTCAACTTCTTCTGTTCTCTCCTTTTTATGAATTTATTTAGAATCACAGGATTTTTTTTCATGAGTTTATTTAAAATCACAGGTCAACAAGCTTATAATCATTTATACAAGAAGTAGATATAATTCGCTTTGTATCAATGATATTCAGCCAAATTTATGCCGAATAGTCATGGAAAACGCCGACAAACCAGTGCGTATTTGTATGGAAAGTCGTGAAAGCTCCAGGCAAATATCTTATGTACTTTATGATTTACTACAAAATTACAAACGAAAGACTAAAAACTTTGTTTTTTATTTAATTCTAATCGCGCGTTTATTTTGGCACACCCTTTATATGCAGTTATTACTATACGAATTTATATTAATGTGTTCWTTTGTTTATATTTGACGATAAATAGTAGAATAAGTTGTACCTTGTTCTGAAGAGGATCGTGATACCGATGACGATGAACTCGCTGAGAGCATTTCGGAAATGTCTGTTTGTACTGCGACGCTGACTTTCATTTTCAATGACCTTCAGTATACTATATATACATACGATGTAGATATGTATTTACACAAAACTCTATACTTAAAAGCGTTTATGCTGATTACTGCCAAGATGTGTATAAGAGACAGTAGATATGTATTTACACAAAACTCTATACTTAAAAGCGTTTATGCTGATTACTGCCACTATATACATATGTACATACATACATATGGATGTACAAACTTTTATTGGGTTGCGTTTGAATTGAGCAAGCTTATTAATATTAGATTCGTGTTCAAAAAGGGGTGTTAGACTTTGTTGCGGCGAAATTGAGGCATTCGCACTTGAATATGGTCCAGCTGTCTGCMTACATTTAATAATTTTTCAAGTGGATTCGTAAGTAAACGACTTAATGGTGGTCTCTTCGTCTTTCAAGCGTTTTTTGAAGTTGCTTATCAGCCGAGCAAAAATATTTGGTAAGAACTTTGTRTGCTTAGAATTGATCGGTTCATCTATTAATTTCAGCACATGGTGAGCAATTGTTTACTAYTGATATTACGGTAGTTATCTTTGGTTGGGAAATTGTACACAAATACATATGAACATATGAGTATGAAGAATTTTTTATGGCGTTTGACGTCGCCCTTTCGTAGTTTCCTTTAGCAGTTCAAATAAAACGCTGAGAATCACCCCTCTCAACGATTATGCGCCGTTAAATTGTATACTAACAATACATCGCTGATGTCACGACGATATTTTCTAAATCTTATAATAATTTAATTTGGCTTTGCTTCAGGTACGGAACTATATCACAGATATTTTATTGCTGTAAACTGAGATTCTGCACTTTGGCCAAGGAAAAAAGTTAACCGCTTAATGACCTAATTTATCAACATTTCTGCTACTGTCCAAATAAACCGTTTAATACGATGGTTGCGAGACACGACACTCAACCACTTTGCTTTCGCGAGGAGCACACACTGACGGAATTGTGGCGCATAACCCCCAGTGTTTCTATATGGTACACAGTTCTCAACGAATTCCGTTACTCACTCACCACAGCTGTTGTGTAGCAGTTGTTCCCAAACATGTTGAGAAATGTAAACAGTAGCGCTGAAGTGGAAAAACATAAAAGAACAAGCTATTTGACATTCCCATGGAGCAAAGAAACCCACTTAACTCCAACCGATTGAAGATAAAATGTGAAATTAACATAAAACAAAAAGTTGGAAAGAAGTTACGGCAAATGTGGTAAAGGGCAGCGCATAAACCGTACTACTCTACCACATATTTACTAYATGAATAACAACTGGCCTTGAACTAAACAACACACAACACACAACATAAGCTTAGAGCGTAAACAGAGAGCACAGATATATGGTATTTAACATTTTCACGCAAGTTTATTTAACAGCGTAAAGCTAAAAACGCTGTAGAGAAATAGCATGAGAGCAATAGCGAGCGATAAATTCGCTCTTATATTAGAGCATGAAGTTTTCTCTCAAGCTTTTCCTATGCTGTGGTCAAGAAACATACTTCCATAGAGATTATTTCTCTTGATGCTTTATATTTCGCACTCGTCATGTTTTTCTTTGCTCTCTGAGTAATTCGGCATAGACGCGCGTACTTTCATACATATGTATGTATATAAASTAAACCRACTACCCRTACTTGCGGCATGCTTGGRCGAGCGTTAAGGTATTGGGGTGGAACGTAAACAAAGGTSCAWAAGTATGTATGTATRWATGTACATATGTAAATGAAAATTCATTTAGCCAAAAAGCGCTGCGTAAAAAAATGTTTCGAAAAAGAAGCGCGACTACTACCACATCAAGTAGGTTTAAAAACAAATTATACCCTATTTTCGTTATATGTTTGATTAATTTTATATATGAAAGGTTTATTTTATTAATTTAGTTAGCACACTTGCATACTGAACTTTTAACAAATACCTACATATCCTCTAACAATAATAACAGGTGATTCCAGTAGAGGTACTTTTTTCAATAGCATTTTTGTACAGATCACGCGTCAGTGGTGTCAAGCTGTTATAGCGTTATTGTTCARTATTGTTTGGAAATTTTATCATGGGAAGACTGACGGCTGAACAATGTTTACAAATCACTCCTCTTTATTACGGAAATTATCGTTTGGTAAAGAATGTGTTTCGCGTGCTTCGCTTAACTTATGGTTTACTGAGCGTACTATTCGCAACACCACCACCTATCTTGAGACCCAGCATTCATTATTGGATATATATTCGACCGAATAGATCACGTCCAGCACTCAGTGGAGAAAATATAGCTGAGAATTTTACGTCGAGATCTTAAATTGAAAAACTTAAGCCGCTCGACCTTGTCAAGCGATATCGCTTCGTTCTAWGGGCTMTTGAAAGGTTCCAAGAAGATCCGAGGTTTTCAAGCCAAATTTTCTGGCTGAATGAGTTTTTAAACAGGCGAAATTGCCGCATTTGGGATGAAGAGCAACCTRAAGAGATTCAAGAGCTGTCATTTCATCCAGAAAAAACAACGGTTTGGTGTGGTTTGTGGGTCGGTGGAATCACCCTTTAAACATGATGTCGGTGAGAACGTAACCGTCAATGGTGACCGTTATCGGTTTGATGGCTGAAATTGTGGCTTGTGATCTCAACAACATTTAATTTCCACAAGACGGCACCACTTTCCAACCATCGCATCAATCAATGGATTTATTGAGAAAAGACTTCAATTAGCAGAAAATGTCACGTTTTGGGCCGATCGATTGGCCACCAAAATCCCACCATCACTTTATGACTTTATCCTGTGGGAATATGTAAAGTATAAAGTTTATGCAGACAATCCTGCTTTAATTCAGGTCTTGAAGCAAAAATCACGCGTGTCATTCGGCARTTACCAGTCAAAATGCTCGAACGAGTCATTGAAAATTGTACTCAATGGATGGACCGTTTGAGATGCAACCGCTGAAAGAGTTAATCTTCAAAAACTAAATGACAAAKAATGTTCTTTTGAATAATAATAAACATTCCCCATTAAATATTAGGTTGCTGTGTTTTTTCTTTAAAAAAAGTTAGTGAATTTCGAAATAGACCACCCTTTATAATAATATGAATGTGTGGRACAGAATAATTCTAGCAATATATAAGCAAAATATTTTCAAATAAATATATAAATGATAGTATTTGGGCAATTATAATTGATGTACACAATTGGTACAGAACATAACTATCTCTGCAAAGTTGAGATACTTGAACGACCTTCCCTTACCATTTGTTAGGTGCGCTTTGAGTTTATTTGACAAATGGTAGAGCTTACTGTTTAAACCAACACCAAATGGTCATAAATTTCATGGCAAGCTTTCCCTGATTAAAAAACAGTCGACAGTGTGTCTGCAAAGGGCAGCGCTATAAGTAAATAGTTTAACACTGAACCGCGAAGGCCGCACAATGCTCTTTTAATTATGCACCATACACTATTTACATGTGCATATGTACAAACATACGTAATCTTAACGATGTAAAATATGATATCATGTAAAGCACAAATTGTACACATACCGTTAAAATATTAAAGAGTGTTAGTATCAAAAAAATTACGTTTTAATTAACTAAATAATATTTTTAATTCAACAAAAATTAAATTACAAGTGTSAGCCCTTTACCTGTACTCTTAAGTTCTTTAGTTAGTTTTAGTAATGTAATTTAGTAAYGAGAATAGCGATGACAGTGAGATATTAAGTGGAAAATGTGCTAATGCACAAGTTGAACATTTGACAAAACACATGAAGAATGAAACAAGCACTACGTTTACTAAGTGTATTAAATTAACGCGTACAAAAAAGCAAAACGATAAAATGGCAAAACTACGAAAAATCAAACGCGTGTATTTATAAGTTTAAGAAATACATAGGCAATCTTTATTGGTAAAAAAATCAAATAAAATKATAGAGAAAATAATAAATTCGTAATATGCTTGTCAAATGCATARGAATACACTTGTTTTTGTAAAACTATGTTAGCTCTTTCTCAAAATTTCAATTATTCCGGAATATTGCAAAAATACCGCTTATTCAAACTTATAGTTAGGTATGCTTGTATGTGCATAATTGTGTGTATATATATACTTATAAAAGTATGGGAATGTAAAATGATACATTTATGAAGTTTTAAAAACAAAAGGTCACAAAGTATTCACACATTTTAAAGCTTCAGTTGTTTGATATCCTTTCTGCTTTGCATTATTTAGAAGAATCTTTTGAAGAATGGTATGCTGCAGTTCACCATCGAGTACAAGCTCTTTAGTGTGTTTACAAGAAAACGGTATAGAGTAAAGTACATCAACATATTACTAACGTCCAACAAAAAGTCTATTGTTCGCGCTACGAAACGGGTAATGGGCGCACACTTGCAATCGAGGTGAATACAAAGAGCCAACTCACCTTTTGTCTGGCCGGCACACTGTGCAGACAGTACTGTGCCAGGCGGACCACGTAGTACGGCTTCCAGACACCGTATGTTGTCRCGACAAGTGCTAATAATCTCCGTCTGAAATTGCCAAGAAAARTGGTTTTGTTTCACCWATARCTCATCACGATACCATTATTAAATAGGTGGATATTCCAACTTACATAATCTTCTGGACGCAGTAGGTGACAGCGTATCTTTAAGGCTTCCGTGTCTTCCAAACGATTTCTGCTTTGCTGTAGTAAATTACGCATCTCCTTTTCATCGTCGGAGTCATCGCAGCTGGACGAAGAWGTGGCCGGTATGACTTTGATACTTTTATCAAGGTTGCGCGATGAGCGACGTCGATCGTCAATTTTGCGACGTCGAGTTGATGTGTCGCTTTCGGAGGTGCGACGCAACGACTGCGCCGATTGACTCATACCAAATTCCAATTTTCGACCAGTTGAATCAGATTTTCTTTGCTGATTGGCTTTCTCAAAACCGATCCTGGGAGTAATTGCGTTGACTGACGATGATGTCGATATGGCGGGAGTACGCGTATTTTGTGCATCAGTTGAATCTTAACACATGTATATGCAAAGATTAAGTTTTGTAAATTTGTTAAACCGAGTTGCTGAGCTTACCTTGACATGATTTGCGACGAACCTCTAATGTTTTACGTCTTCGCTCGTATTCCAAGTCAAGTGCACGKCGACGTCTGGCGTGGTCCACACTGTTAGCAATTGTATCTTGCGTGATCGCTTTCGTGTCTGCTTGTTGCAACGAGTCCATACGTGGTGGCGACAACGAATCCAAATTGTTGGCAGCAGACAGCGACGAACAGCAATCTGACTGCGAATCGATGAAATTTCTGGGAGAGAAAAATTTATTTTTAGTCGGTTGTCATATTAGCGAACAAACTATGTACTATATATTATTAGGCCCAGCGGGAAAATTATGGTACGAATCGGTAGATTTTTTAAAAAATTTCACTTTCATAACAGTTTGTCTGTTGTACTACTTTATTTTTTTTTTTTTTACCTGTAGTCATCTCCGAATTCCATAAGTTTCCTGGCTGCATCCGAGTCGAAGCCTTCGGAATAATTTTCGGAATTATATTTCTCTTGATAATTATCCCAGGCTGTCTCTGAAAAACTGCTATGGTGATCTTCAGTGCCAGTGGTGTATTCTGTATTCAATAGAAGAACCAAAATTAATTTGAGCCTTTCATGACTTGTATTCTAACTAACAACGAAAGTGCATAGCATAAGTTAAACATGTTTGAAAAGTATCCAGAAACCAAAGTCATTAAGATCAGAAAAATATTCATTAGCCATTTTACTCAAAAGATTTCGAAAAAGTTTTCAAAGTTAAAAATTTGCAAAGGTTTAGCATTCGTAAAGACAACATAGACTTGAAAACTACTTTAAAAACTTAATTGAGAGTCAATTAGAAACATTTTAACTTAGTATAAGCCACAGATCGAMCTTAAATCACGATGCTTKCTGGATAGTATATGTATATTCGTTWGTATATGCATGAAACCATTTGATTTGCACATTTCACATCCGACAATTGCAAATCCAACGAYATGGATCTACGCTTTATATAAGTCAAATGTAAATGTGGAACTAAGTGACTGATTAATTGGAGTTATCATATACAAACACACTTTTCTAATGTCTACAGGTTGTGTAGATACCTCGCTGTTTTTGCGGCACTGGTGTGGCAGCTTTAAACACGAAAAAAACATTGCAGTGTGAAAAAGAGTTGACGACATGAGTAAGAAGTGTGGGCAAATAAAACTTTTCTTATAAAAATTGCAGTGCAACATAACAAAAATAAAATCGCAGCGTTTTCGTTAGTACTAACCTCCTTGTTGTTCTTCTTCTTCATCATTCATATAAGTGGCTAAGGCGGCTAACGAACCCAAACGCTTCTCRTTACGCATATATGCTGTGGTGTAAGAGCCCACTCGAAAATTGGGTTTCATCAAAGGTACTCCTTCGCCCATATCTTTTTGTGATTGTGGTATAACGTGCTGTTTGGACTCTTCCAAGCTGTATTGTGCGGCATTTTTATTACTACCAGTTGCAGCTTCATTGAGATTTGTGCCATTGCCGCGTTGTAGACACAAGAGCGCGCTTGTTATTTCGCGTATTTGTTGCGTGGACATGGACTCACAAGACTTCATGAGCAGCGTTTGTGWGAGTCGAGGCACCTCGGCAGTGTCCTCTGAGCCAGAATCTGGGCTTTTCTTAAGCACCGAGTGTGTATTTGTCGCGACAACGCCCAAATTTCCAGAGGTTGACATTTTCTTCTTACGAGTTTTACGGCGTTTCAAAGATCCCTTGCTATTGCTAGCTTTTACTTGGTTGACATTTATCGTTGATGAGGAAGAGACACGTTGCCGGCCAGGAGACAGAGAGTCCAGTGCTGACTCGCTGATRGAGTGGGTGGCAAGTCCAGTTTGTGCATTTCCCACAACCGGTGCAATCGTCTCTGTTGGGACKGTTTCAGTGGTCAGTTGCGACAGGCATGATACCGACCATGGTCGTTCTGACTTACGTCGTGACTGTGAGCGTTTCACGATTTTTACATTTAAGCTCTGGTTGCTGCTGCCGTAACCGAGTACTGTCGCTGAACTGACAATGGGCTCTACAGAACTTGCAAAGCATTCTGTGGAGTTGCCACCGAAGGAATTTGTGCTTGTCTGCATACACGTAGCTATTGATTCTGTTAGACCTTCTGAAGTATCGGAACCAGGATGAGGAACCGAATCTGTTTCCGAAGCTTCACCCGATGCTTCACAGTCATCGCCCGCTTTGGACTTAACACCACTCTGTAATTCGTCGCTGGGATTTCTATGACTCTGAGTGGTAGTTGATGAAGTTGGCTGATGCTCCAGCCATTCCTTTTAATAAATTTAAAAAAAAAATTTCAATGAAAAAAGGATTTATGTATGTATGTATGTAAACTGCGATACCACTTACTTGCACACGTTGCTTGATTGGGCCCGGCATGGCGATCTCTCGTTTCTTCACTGTTGACGACAATTTGATGACGGAATGCTTTTGCTTCTGTTTATTAGGCGTCTTTAGTGCTTCGACATCACGTACTAAATGTTCTGCTTCAAGTACCAGCTGTTTGATTGATTCATGCGAGAGTTTACTCTGAAATCAAAAACAAAAAATAGCACACATGACAAATGAGCCGGCAATATAGTAAAAAGTAACTTCACGATGAGAGCGAAATGCATATAAAATATTATCACAACGAATCAACGTGTGAAACGAAGTAACTGATAGAGCAATTGAGTATTATAAATAAGAAATGTACACAGAAAGGCCTGAGCACACATGAGTATCGAAGCGACGAGTACGAGCTCAACTCATTTACTTGAGAGCGGAGGAGCACACATCGGTATCGAATATCTTATCGTCTGTTGGAATGCTTCTTCTAAGAAAAGTGAACCGAATCATCACAAGTCAAAGTTGTGCGAAATCGTTAACTAATGAACGCACACATTCGAACAACTCGCATACTATTTTCATTGCATTTTCACTCTTTGTTTATTTGTTACCGCTTGCAGTAAAAACATATATTTTAGCGCAAGATATACGTACATACGCATGTACAAATGGCGTATACAGTGGTGACCATAAAATAAGCAACTGATACATTATTTTAGGAAAAGATTGAACTCGAAAATAATTTAATTGAATTTTAATTTTAATAATTTAGTATTTTTAGTATTTATATTTGAAATTATCCACAAAAAAAGCTTCTCTCGGAGATGGACGTCCCGCATACAAACCGATGCTTTCGGTAAGAAACAGAACCAGGCGTCTAAAATTAGCTAAGAAGCATCTTAGCAGGTGCTGTACAGCGATGGGTCAAAGTTTAACTTAATAGGCGGTGATGGAATGTCTTAAATGCGAAGGCTATTAAACTTATTGCAAGAAAACCGTTAAGGGGTTAGGTGGGTTTAAAAATTTCCAAAAATCGATTTTTTTTTGTTTGCTTTATTAAATTCAACAATACCTCTAGAATATAGTCCTAAATTTTAAAGTTTATCTGAGTAATAATTTCGGAGATACAGCCTTGAGAACTTGTGCACTCAAGGCTAGCTGCGTTAAGTGCCCTGTTTTTAAACGCGTTTTTCTCGAAACTGTGTATTTGATGTCGGTGGACACGATTTCTCGAAAAGTTATCGACCGATTTAGTTCGTATTGTGTACACGTTTTTGAAATAATACCATCTAGTTATTGAACGAAGGATTTTTTCTTGTTTCATTACAACTTATTTTTCCGACCAAAAATGCCGAAAATTTTACCAAAAATGCGATGTTTTCTTCAAAGTCCAAGAAAAGAAGGACAGTTTTAATATTTTCTTTATTTCCTACTTTCAAAAACGAGATTAAGATATGTATATATATGCGTTCGTATGTCAGTTTTTTTTTTTGTTTTTTTGTCAAAATGTTCCAACTAAGCGAAAAAACATTCAGATAAGGAAAAAATTTAAAAGGTCATAAAAAAAACTGACACATACGAACCATACCATCACCCTGACTTGGAATTTTTCACCCCCCAGACAATAATCCCAAAAATGTTCCACAATGTTAGTTATGCTGTCCACGGCGAGAGCACTTTTTTGAGAGACACCCAGGGAAATGCGGTCTCAACGGCGGAATTTTCAACATTTTTGTATCGAAATTTCAGGAGATATTGTTCGAATATATACCTGTGATATAACATATTATATTTTTCAAATATGTAATTGCTTGTATTAAAAAAAAATCGTAAAAATACCTTTTTTTTTTGTACCTCTGAAACTTACCCCTTAATGGGGTGGGGCTGCTTCTCTGCTAAGGGAATTGAGCCATTGAGCGGAAAATGACATTGCTTCGGKTCTTCCAAGCAACTTTAGTGTTATAGAATGATCAGCACAGTCACCAGATCTCAACCCTATTCAGAACTGTTTAACAGGCGCATAGTTGGAGAAATGGCGTTAAACTTTTTAGTAGACTTTAAAAAAGCTTGGCAATCGATTCTGATGAAAATCATTGATAATTTAATTGCTTCAATGCCGAGAAGATATGCGGGAAGTGATAAAAAAAAAAATGGATTTGCAACAAAGTATTTATTAAAACATATTTTTCACCATTGTTGCATATGTTATACCACTGTATACATATGTCATCACCTAAAATGCAAAACAACGTATCATAAAAAAAACTGTAAATCGAGTTTTCTATTGCCTACGTTTCACTACATCATATAAGACATGTGTACCATAAAATTTTTAACTTGTGTTGTTAGATATAACCAATATACATATAACCAAAACACAAATTTTTTTTCAGTCTGAGTGGTTTCTATTAAATCGTTTTACCTTCGTCTGTAAACTTATGAAAAGTAATTTTATGTTATTTTGCATTTTAGGTGACGATATGTATATTTGTATATACTTGTATATGCATATAATTAGTGTAAAATAATCGAAGTAGCATGTTTTATTCAAAATAATTAGAGCACGAAAAGTAACTCACATTTAATTTTCAAAACACAAAGCCGTAAAGCAAGCGTTCACATTGCGAAACAAACGACAATTGCTCTGGGTTCTCGTATCCATTCTAATACGCCTCAGTAAATTGGACTTCACGTTCACTTAGTATGTTGCATATGTATGTATGTACAAATAAGCACATCCAATTGGATACGTGCGTATGTATGAAAGTAGATATGTAAATATGTCAGCAATTCGATATTTAACGTTAATGTTGAATCTCTTAATTTGGTTTTCTTTTTTCAGTTCTAATGGCAGTAGGGCACACCGGAAATAGGGCGCAAACGAATTCTACAACACCAATTAGAATATTTTGTGGGCCAAGTGCGGGCAAACACATAAACAAACTACAGTCACGCACACACTCATTGGGAGTTTATGGATTGCACGTGGACACAATAAGATGACATTCGCAAGCAGATACCACTCTTAAGTAAGTCCACTCGCACGATTACTTTGGCTGACTGGGTATTGTTTAGAGACACCAGTTGACGTGCACATATTTCTATGCAATACATATGTATGTATGTATATAAATGTATAGTTGTATATATGTATTTCATTGCTTGTCCACACCACAAATCAGACACCAAACCACACACACATGCATGCACTTGCACAGGATTACAAAGCAGCGCAATTGTGATATTTAATTGCAACTCGCAGCCTTTTTGTGTGTGTATGTGAATATTACATTTTAGTAGCAGCGTGTATTTGCTGCTGTCCGCGCTGCAATTCGTAGTCGCTAATGAATCCATTTTTTGCAAAAATACAACTCCAACAAGCGTATAAAGTGACTAAACCAGCGCTACTTGAATGCTGGTGAGGCGACGACAATAAACGGAAACAATTATTCAAAAGCGAATGAAAATTTGAAAATGGTCAAAGCGGTAATAGCCGACGTTGGCCACTCCGACGGCGACGGCGACGGCGACGGCGAAGGCCACAACAAGCGAAATTGATAAATCAGTAACAACAGGGGAAAATGCTGCGCAAGTTATTAGTAAGAGAGCGCCAATGATCAATACGGAAACAAAAAGGAAGCGAAACACTAGCAGCCAGCCAAAGCCAATGTGGCGATTGGACGATTGGGCGGTTGAGATAATTGATTACAATTATTACTCAAGTCATTGGACATACATACTTGGGACTTAGGAACACAATCAGCAATTAAAACTCCAAACATTGCAGTTTTCAACAAAACACAAAAAAAAAAAAAAACCAATGAAACAGGAGAATGCACACGCAAATTGCGATTTGACATTTGCGATCTGTGATTTTTCTTTGCCAATGGAAAATGCCTTGTTTTAGCATTCACCGCAGCRAACTATTTTCACATATTCATATACATACATACGTATGTATGTAGGTATAGTATATAAATGTTAAAAGCGCAAACTCTAAAAATCCAAATTTTACAGGTTCAACCATTGTGATCCACGAAGATCGCTGTGGTCAGCGCTGGCGCTGACAGCAAAAGTTTCTCATTTGTTTGAGATTTTGAATACAATAATTGTCTGCCAATATGGCGCTTCTGGCATTATATACCAATTAATAATTGTACATACATATGTATGTATGTATGTAACTACAAATGTATATTATATATTTACATATATGCAAAATCGTACTTGTGTATGAAAGGATGCTTACAGCTCGTGAACGTTAACATTCGACAGCAAAAATATGGAAACTCTGATCTTGTGATTAGTTGTCTCACTTAAGTGGGCTGGCGCACGCAAATTCAATCGAAACCGAAACTAAAATCGAAATCCAAATCCAGCCACTCGACGAACTTTGAATGGCTAAGAAACATGCATTTGTGATTTATCGCACGTCCGTTTTAAAATAATTGGCACAGTATTTTTTTTAGCTCTTTCTTTGCACTTGCAAATYTTATTTACACAAAGTATTAATGTTTATCAAATATTATACTAGACTACTGGCACTTTTGATTTTCCCTTCTGCTTAATTTTTGCACAACTTTCACAACGAAACGGAGCAGACTGATCAGCAGCTGTATGACTTCACCGCAAGCCACCCGAAGAGTTTGCGAGTCGAAAGCCAATCGGTTTGCAAAAGTGTTGGCTCCATTTTATTTGTGTTTATTAATAATTTTAATAACGTTGGCAAAGCAGCAGCAGTAAACGGGGTGGCAAATGAGGCATACACAAATAATTATAAGTACGAGCACTATAATATGATTGCCACAGTATTCAGGGCGTGCTCTCGATAAGATAAGCTAATAAAAATCGATTCAAACCCCCACCTAATAACTTGGTATGTATGAGTTTAAGTTAGCTTTTCGCGTTGTGATTTTATCTGCCTTTTCATAGTTGTGCGCATTGAGCAATGGCTTATGGATTTTAAATGAGCTAAAATTTGAATATAACCGGACTAAATGAGGCTATATTTAATGTCTTTTATATTAGAAATAAACGGTTTGTTTAAGGCATTGTAAGATTGATTGGCATCTGAAAATCTAGCTTACTCCATTACACGTATCACGTTTAGTTAAAATGAATGTTGCATGTGCAAGTGGCGTGAATAATTCCAAATATTTGWACAGTGTTTTTCAGGTTTCAATTTTACGACATACATATCATTAGAAAAGGAAACACAAAACGTATTTCACATACAGTTTTGAAAATTGTTCAATCGAAAGCTTACTAGTAATATTATTTGTCAAAAATGTCTTGCGGTATTTTCGCTAGTTGGCGCTGAGAGGGCGTAGTTTTAGTTTTATTCGTCGCATCGGGTCATGCTATTACCTCTTTGGAAAGCTAATTTCACGCGCTAACACGTGTTTGATTGATTGTCGTTTCTTTTAAGTCGTTCGTGAGTTATAGCGTCGCAAAGATGGAGCAAAATAAAGAGAAAATACGGCATATTTTATAGTACTACTA